TTCGACCCCCCCCCCTCGAACTCGAAAACCGGGGGGGGTCACTACCGGTTCTAACACCCCCCCCCCTCGAAAACCGATGGGTGCGGACAGTGGTGGGGACGGTGGTGGTGGGGGCAGTGGTGAGGGGACAGCGGGACAGTGGTGGGGACAGTGGGACAGTGGTGGGGACGGTAGTGGTGGGGACAATGGTGAGGACAATGGTGGGAACAGTGGGGACAGTGGTGGGGACGGTGGTGGTGGGGACAGTGGTGTGGGGACAGTGGGAATGTGGTGGAAACAGTAGGACAGTGGAGGGTACAGTGGTGGTGGGGACAGTGGTGAAGGCGGTGGCGAGGACGGCGGTGGGACAATGGGACAGAGGTACAGTGGGGACAGTGGTGGGGACAGTGGGGACAGTGGTGGGAACAGTGGGACAGCTCAGTGGTTCGAACCGGTAGTGACCCCCCCTCTGCTTTTCGAAGGGGGGGGGGAACCGGTAGTGACCCCACCCGGTTTTCGAGTTCGAAAGGGGGGGGGGGGCGGGGGGAGGGGTTGGGGAGGGGGGGTTTTGCCGGGGAAAAAGGGGGCGGGGGGGAGGGGTTCCAGCAGGGGGGGGGGGGGGATTTTCGGAGAGGGGGGGGGGGGGCGGGCTCCGGAGGAAAAGGGCGGCAATTTTCCACAGTAAAGCTGCGATGGATCACGCTCTCTCCAATTTTTAGTCTTTGGTGCCAAACCCAACCGCGGTTCTTCTTGTTCGCCGGATTCGCGTTGTGCAGACCTGTGCGCGAATATGTAAGCGTTTGCAAGCTCAGAGAAATGGTGTTTCCTGTTATTGTCCGAAACGGTGTCTGAAGCATTTCCGCTTGGATCAAGAATTCGCAATCAAATATGCACCAGCGGGAATTTCGAGACCCAAGACGGCCTTAGAGTTTCCCCCGACGGCCCAACATACCCCGCAGAAGATTCGCACCCATTTTGGCTCAGATCGTCCTGGCTGACGAGTTTGGTCGAGTTTCCGTTTGTCTCTCAGGCGCCCACATCCGTCGCGTTCGAAGTACAAAACACCACGGCGGGGCGTCACTATCCGCCCTCATGCCAGGCCGCGCCTTCACAATGCGGGCGGCCACGCTTCTGAGCCTCGTGGGATTGCCCAGCAGCTCCACAGGGCTGCCGCCGCCGATGCTTGCGCAGCAGCGGTGAAGGAGGAGGACGATGACGTCACGAAAATGGAGGACACCGTCCAGCGGAGGGTCCGGACACCCAGCCCGATGCCCAGCCCGATGCCCCTCCCAGTCGGGTCGGTGCCACTCAATTGTGACAGCGGTATATATCTTAATTCTGGCGGGTGTTGCAGTAACGGCATCAATAGTTGCCTGCCCGCGCAAAGTGTTTTACTGGTGTCGTGTAAAACTGGCACCGACGGCGCTGAGCTTTGCCAGTGCTCCTGCAGCGACAGCAGCAACAGCAGGTAGGCGTTTTGCATGAACTGGCTCTATGTCGTAGGTGGTGGTCAGATGAGCGTGACACAGGGAACAATCCCACGTTTACAAGTTTAGCTTCTGGCAAAGAGGCGTCGCCTACATCGCGAGTCCATATTGTGTGGGCCGCGGCGCCATCTACCAGAATGGGAAGGGAATTCGTTCTTCACATCGGTTGGGTGGCGGCAGCTGGACCGATTATTCTTGATAGTGACATCATATATGCCTCTGCGTGCGTGACGGCAGTTCTCTCTCGCACGTGCGATCTTGGCCACGTCAGGGAGAGGGAAAGAGAGCCCCCCCAAGAAGGCCCCGAGAGGGGCCCGAGACGGGGCAAGAAGGGGGTTTCCAAGACGGTTCCAAGAAACCTCTCAAACAACGCAAGATCCCCCCAACCCCAGGAATGCCCCACTGGCCCCAAAGCAACCCCAAGACGGCACGCGGGCGCTCCAAGAGGGCCCAAGAGGCCCACAAGATGCCATAAGACGCCGCGACAGAGCCTTGGGAGACGGCGGCAGGTGGATTCCAGCAGCACCGCACGCCATAGCAGCATGGCAGATCACGTCCTACAAGCCCAGTTGACACAAGCGGCACCTCTCGTTCCGGTCCGATTAGCTAGGGGGGGGAACCTCGTCGACCACGCTGTGCGGGCGTTGGGCGCCCCGCCCCTTCCCCCGCCCGCGCGCCCCCTGGGTGTCGAGGTCCAGCCGCGCCTGCCGTGCTTTGCGAGCCTGAAACGGCTGTTGGCCCCACCCCGAGCGCTCTCCGTGCGTTGCCGATGAGTGTCACGCCTGCCGCGCGTTGCGATCCGAAGCGGACAGCGTCTCCCGCCGCACCCGCCCCATGTCTAGCCTCGGGGAGAGAGAGAGAGAGAGAGAGAGAGAGAGAGAGAGAGAGAGAGAGAGAGAGAGAGAAAAAAAAAAAGAGAGAGAGAGAGAGAGAGAGAGAGAGAGAGAGAGAGAAAGCCACACCAGTCGCGCAGACGAAGCGCCCGCGTTTGCTGCGCTCTGCGAGCCCGCGCCGCATGCCCCCCGCCCCCCACCATCACCACAACCACTTGTTGAACGCCAGCGGCGCAGAGGGTCCTCAAACGCCTTCGGCGGCGAGAATGTACACTACCCTCATGCCTCGTTGATGGGTGAGGCTGCTTCGCTTGTGGGTTTTGCAAAATGCAAGCAGCGGCATGAGTGCAACTGCAAGCACAGCGTTCAAAGAAGGTGGGCGCATGGGGAAAAGCAACCAAGTCAATCACCAACGCGCACAATAATCACCCGATGGACCAAGGTGACGCAAGGACGCACATTGATGGGGGCGTCACCACCCTAGCCTCTCACGAGAACGGCGCTCAGAGGAGACGAACCGCACTCATGAAAGCGTGCAACAAGACACCGATCGAATGCAGTAAAGAGCGCTTGGGGATATATGCGACGTTGTAGCGGGTGCCAGGCCAGACGCAGCTTAGCATCCCAACGATCCACGCGGCGACGCCCCTTAGACGCTGCAGAGCTGGTGAGCATTGCGCATCGCAGCCAAATTATATCAAAAACACCAACGGTCCATTAAATCGCCGCCGTCGCATGTAATCGCTGCTGCGCCAATGGCGCGACCAAGCGAGCCACCGCCACCCCCACCACCAACAACAGCAAGCATTTCAATACTGTTCGCCTTTATTTGCGCGCGAGTCGTTGGAAGAGTCTATCCTGAACCTTCGCTACCCGCCCTCTTCGTCTTCGACTGACCCCCTCTGGGGGGCATATCTTCATAGCCTGCCTGGCGTAGTTGGCGCAGCCCACGCATGGAACGAGGAGGGGCGCAACGCATGAGCGAATAGAAGAAGCGCGGGGAATAAAGGGAGGGGTAAGAAGGAGACGAAGGAATGGAATATAAAATGGGCAGTGACGTGGGAAAGGTGGAGAGAGAGTGAGAGAGAGAGAGAGAGAGAGAGAGAGAGAGAGAGAGAGAGAGAGAGAGAGAGAGAGAGAGAGAGCAAGAAAGAAAAACATATCGGGAGAGAGGGAGCCAGAGAGGGAGCCAGAAAGAGAGGGGGAGAGAGAGAGAGAGAGAGAGAGAGAGAGAGAGAGAGAGAGAGAGAGAGAGAGAGAGAGAGAGAGAGAGAGAACCAACGAAAAGAAACAACAAAGAGTGCGATGGACTCGAGAAAACAACCGGCGGATACCGAAGCGGGCGCTTCGGGGCGGGGCCGAACAGGCGGACATGGCGAAAAGGGTGGGCAGACCTTGACAGGCGGCCGGGGCGGGTTGCGCTTGAAAGCGGGCGGGTAGGTTTCCCAGAGAGGGAAAGGGCAGGTCCTCACGGGAGAGGCGGATGGGGTTGCCACTGAAGCGGGATTCTTCATCTTATTGTCAGGAAGTCTCAAGGGAGAGTGAGATTCATGAGAGAATTTCGAGGAAGTCTCCAGCGAGAGCTCGATTCCTGAGTGTCGGGAGCACGGCGCTTGAGTAAATTTAATGGAAGTCCCAAGCGAGAGCGCGATGATTGCATAGATTGCAGGGAAGTGTCAGTCGGGAACGCGGCTCCTGAGGAAAAGCAGAGGAAGTCTCAAGCGAATGGAGAGGGGGTACCTTTGCATGTTCTGTTTGTCTTGGCCGACGAAGGGCCTCGTGTTCTCGCGGGGCGTTCTTTTGGCCTGCGGTCGATTGTAATCACGTGCCGCTCGTCAATCTCCCTCCCCCCCTTCCTCCCTCATCCACCTCCTTCCGCCTCCCATCCGTAGCCATGTTGGCTCAAGGCTGATGCTTTGGCGGGCTGAGCCCGCATTGGCATTCACGGACGCCGCTATTCCGCGGCAGTGCCAGGACGCTTGCGTCCGACAGAGTTTCTTGCCTACGCCGAGGAGTTGGGCTCCCTCACTTAGTGTGTTCCTGCATTCATGGGAGGCAAGAAGTATGGCCGCGCCTGGAGTCGTTGCGAGGGCTGTCAGAACTCGATCTGGAACACCAAGCTCATCGCTCAAGATTGCGTCTGCCAGTGTGGACACACAGTCCAGCTGTGGGCGCCTTGGAACTCCGTGGCCAGGCACGAGAACGATACCTCCAACACCTATGAGAAGAAGCTGCGCGACCTCCTCAAGGCGGATCTTCCCCCTGCCGTGGCAACGGCGATCCAGACGGAGTTGCAGCAGGCGAAGAAGCCGCCGCCCACGGACGCTTGGGAGGCGGCGCAGAAGGCCAAGCAGGAGCTACGCAAGACCGAGCAGGCCACTCAGAAGGCGGCGATGGGAGTGCTACGGGCCCGCGCCGACCTCGAGTCGGCCTCAGAGGCGCACGCGTCCAAGGTGGAGCAGCAGGCGATGGCGGAGCTCGCCTACCAGAAGGCGCTCTCCACGCTGCAGACGGAACAGGCACGCGATGCACCTCAGCGGAACAAGCTCATTATCGACTACGACATTTTCGAGACCGCAGACCCTGCGGACATGGATGAGAACGAGCGCAAGACTTTCATGGAGTACAAGAAGGAGTTCGACACCGCCAGGCCACAGCTCGAGTCGGCGGTGCAGAAGCTACAGAACCTCATGGAGTCCATCAAGCGCTTCGACCAGGAGCGGGTCGCCAAGAGGAGACGCCAGGAGGGAGGCGATGAGGCGCCATCGGTCGAGGCAGGCCGCGGCGGCGGCGCTGGCGCCCCACCTGCCATGCCTGCGACCCCTGGGGCGGGTTCAGCCCCGGCGCCCGTGCCCCCTCAGCCCCCGCTGGACGGCGAGTGGCTCAAGTCGCTCTCCGAAGACTCGCTGCGCCAGGCTGCCGAGACCTCCAAGACCAAGGCTGCTGGCTTGGCTGCTGGCGCTGGTGCTCCTGCTCAGCCAGAGCGGGGGTAGTGAGGCCAGCCCCGTCACCGCGCAGCCGATTGTGGAAGAGGCCCAGCTGTTCTTTTCGAACATCACTGAATGGGGCCCTCAGGCTGAGCGGTGGGTGGCGCCCACTGGCAAGCGCTATCAGCTACTGGCCTTGGTCGAGACACACATATCGCAGGCCAAACAGCAGCATGAGTTTCTTAAGATTGACAAGGATGATTGGAGATCCTCCAAATGCTATGCAATGCCGACGGATCGATCTGCAGAGGGCACCACGGGCGGAGAGATGGTTCTAGCTCGCAAATCGGTGGCTGCTTCCACCTTCGACGCTATGAGACACCAGAGCCGCCAGCTGCATGCAGTTGACCCGTGTCATGGCTTCGCCCCGATGACGTGGCATCGCAAGACAGGCAATTTGGTCGTGATAGCCTTTTATATCGAACCGCACCACTCGATTACGGGCCCAGTTCATGAGCGGATGGTTGCACTCACCGCGTTTTTGGACATGCTGGCGGACCCTTGGATTGTATTAGCAGATTGGAATATGTCGCCGTCTCAACTGGCTGACAGCGGCTACCCTGAGGAGCGGGGTGGCTCCATTCTGGTGGCCCTTGGTTCTGCAACGTGTGATAAAGGCTCGGGTTCGACCATTGACTACGCGGTGGTGAAGCGCGGCTGGGAGATGTCTGTGGTCATTCGCCAGGTCCACGATGTGCCGTGGGGAACGCACTGCGGCCTGGAGGTCTGCGCAGGCGAGTCTCAGCCTCGGCGGTTTCGTGCCCTGGCACTCCCTGCAGATTTGCCTTGCCCCCCCAGGCCGCAGAGACAGGCGAACCCCAACAGTAAGACATCACTGAGGAAGAAGGCAGCGCTAGACAAGAGACGCAACCAGTTGCCCGACATGCTGCAGGAGGCGTTTGATGAGCTCACCCAGTCACAGGAGGATGCAGCAGCGCCTCCAGTCTTGAGCGCAGCGGATGTTGACTATGTGGACGGCGTCGATTTTGCCATTAATCTGGATCTCTGGAGGAGGCATCAGGACGACATGAGGAGCATGCTGAGTACTCCCGACGAGAATGACACGCTGGGCACCTACGACACGCGGGGGCCCCCAGAGAAGGCAGGCTCGCAGCTCCCGCCAGGGAAGTCTCGCAGGCTGGAGGGGGCCCAATCTGTCTATTGTGGGACGGTCGAGGAGATGCATGGCATGCCATTGAGGGGGGCGGGGGCCCCAAGAGCCCATGCGGGTGGCCACGGGCCTCAAATCGTGGGGGCGTGCTCGCCCCCCTCGGAGCTGCGCGGCAACGTTGCGACTGGAGCGGATGGAGTTGTTACAGATACTGGCAGAGATGCGACGGACCCCTCGAGAGACAAGTGGAGCATTCTCGACGAGAATGACGCGCTGAACACCTACGACACGGCTGGGCACTCAGAGAAGGCAGGCTCGCAGCACCCGACAGGGAGGACTCGCTTGCTGGAGGGGGCCCCATTGGTTTGTCGTGGAATGGTTCAGGAGTCCGATGTTATGCTATCAAGGGGGGCGGGGACCCAAAGAGCCCATACGGGTGGCCACGGGCCTCAAATCGTGGGAGCGTGCTCGCCCCCCTTAGAGCTGCACGACAAGGTCGGGGCCTGTACGGATAGATCTGCGGTCAGGATGGATGCGACCCAACCGAGGCCTTCTGAGCTATCTTGGGGCCTACCTCCTCACTTTCTGCATGAGAGGGACCCTGAGGCGACCAGGCTTGTTTCGACCCACTATTCCAAGTGGATGTCGACCTTCGAGGCAACGGTGTTGAATCATCATGCGGTCCCTGTAGCGAAACAAGCCGCCTACTCTGGTAGAGCAAATGGGGTTCAATTCCAATGGAAGAAGACTGCGGCTTGCCCTGGACGTACTCATATAAAGCACGAGCCTGCAGAATGGTGGGCTATTACTTTGACACTGGTTAAGAAGATGATCGCGCTGCGCAAGCATCAGAAGCATGAGAACCTCGTAAGGTCCAGCCTCACCCTATTGCAGCTGAGGGTCACGGACCTCCACGGGAAGAGAAACTTATTGCTGCCGAGGGTCGAGGAGGATGAGGTATTCAGATGGTCTGAGCTGGTACGCACCATCACGATCCTGGACGACGAGGAACGAGCTGAACTCATATGCCGCACTGAGGCTTGGTCAGGCCGCGCTGCCGCGCATGCCGCGTACCAGTCCAAGAAGAAGTACTCGGGTTGGCTCGCTGACATGTGGAAGGCGAAGCCTGGAGTCCTACATCGACAGGTCAAGCCGCAGGAGCAACAGCGGCTTGAGATCTACATCAGCGGCACGACGGTCTCCAACCCGAACCTGATCATGGAGGCTAAGCGGCAGGAGTGGGAGAAGGTTTGGACACCTCGCGAGACCAAGCAGCAGATTCTGGATGCTCTGGATAAGGCTCGTCGTCAGACTAGGGAGGAGCCCCCTGATGACATCCAACTGGAGCAGCTGAAGCGCACCCTGTCCATCATGCCAGGCTCCAAGGCGAAGGGTGTGGACGTGATCGGACCACGTGATATGCTGCGCCTACCTGATGTGGCCCTCCAGCAGTACACCGACATGCTCAACGTCATCGAGACTCAAGGTGTCTGGCCACCTCAAGTCATGGCCACGCTGGCGGCCATGGCCCCGAAGAAAGCAGGAGGTGATCGTGTACTAGGTGTTCTCCCTCACATCGCCCGCACCTGGAGTCGTATCAGAGGAGCCGCCTCAGATATGTGGAGTGATGGATTGCATGACTTCTGGTGTACTGCGATGGAAGGCTCATCGGCCCTCTCTGCAGCACTGCATCGAGCTTTTCTAGATGAGCCGGCTTCCACCATGGGCCTGACAGTCGGCACCCTGCGAATGGATTTGGCGAAGTTCTATGACCATGTGAAGTTGGCTAGGCTCATCGAAGTTGGATTGGATGAGGAGTTTCCTGCCATATGTCTACTGTTGGAGGTTCAGCTTTTTCTTAGCCCCAGGATCCTGCGAGCACAGGGCTGGACCGCTGAGCCCATCTACGCTCTCCAAGGAATTGTTGCAGGCTCCCCTCGTGGTGTCATACTCGCGAGGCTGTTCTTGCTCCCCATTCTCACGCACGCCCAGAGACGGGCGGAGGGAGCTACGATGTGGACCTTCGTGGATGACACAGTGGCAAGATCGGGGGGCACGGCAGCGTCAGTGTTACAGCGATTGACCAAGGCGGGAGCAGAATTGAAGGTTGCTCTGGATCATGCTGAGCTCCCTGTCTCCGACAAGACCGTCGTCCTCTCTAACAACAAGCAAGTGCGCGTGAAGCTGGAGCGCAATCTTCGACGCCGCGGAGTGCCTGTCTCGGCTGCGACGACGGCCACCGATCTGGCCATCGACATGGCAGCTGGTACGCGTAGAGTTCAGAAGAAAGCTGGTGAACGGGCTCGAGCGGCTACTGCCAGGACCAAGCGCATAGTCAAGATGCGCAACGCAGCTCAGCAGGCACGCATTGCCAAGGGCCTCTGGGCCACAGGCGCCTTGCCCCAGGGAGTCTATGGCCATCAGGTACGAGGGCTGGCTCGGCATGCGCTGTTGAGATGGAGGAGGCAGGCAGCAGCAGCCGCCACTGGTCAAGCTGCGGGCCGCTGCTTAACCACGCTACTTGGCTCCACGTTCGACGGAGCGGATCCTGGAGTCCAGCTTCGGGCGCAGCCCTTGCGACAATGGATCAGATTTTGGCAAGACCAGCCTCACCTCCATCAGCGCATTCGACGCACGTGGGCCCTGTTGAAGACGAGATTGATTATTGCAGGCCCGAAGATCTGGTCGTATGTCACGGGCCCGACTGGGGCCGCTATTGCTACTCTCTTGGAAGCTGGCTGGGAACCCAACGCGGCTGACTGCTGGCAACGAGTTCGAGGCGAATACTTGGAGCAATGGACACTCCCAGATGACGGAGCAGAGTTGGTCTACCTCGACTACGAGTCTGTCCTAGACGATCTCGCGGAGGACCTCCAGGGCAGGCTCTGGGCGACGGCGGCGGCGCGCGAGCACGGCGCCTCCCTCGCCTGCGGGGCCGACCTGACCATGATCAGGAGTGAACAGCGGAGGTTCCTCGCTTCGGGAAACATGTCGTCTTGGGCCCTGAACAATTGCGTGGTCTCTGGGGGCCAGTGGACCCGTGAGCGCCTCTACCAGGCTGGGTATCAAGTCAATCGGTTGTGTGATCGTTGCAGCTCTGGAGCCATCGAGGACCTTCCGCATCGCATTTGGAAATGCTCGGCGAATGAGGGCCCCGAGGTCACAGCGAGTGAACGCTTGGTCCCCCCAGGCCCTGGCGGGCTTGGAGCAGGATCCCGCCCTTTGGCTTAGAGGTGTGCCCAGTCTCTCCTCCACTACTCCCTCCTTTGCCTCGTGGGACGGGGGTGGGGTGGAGGTGGTGGGTCCTGATTATGAAGGTAAGCCCCGCTGGGAAGCCTGCAGAGACCCCCATGGGCGCCTCGCGCTTTTCGGGGACGGCTCTGGAGGAGCCTTTTCAGATGATCCTCGGAGGCGCCGATGTGGATGGTCGGTCGCGGCTCTCGTCCCAGACGGGGCTGGTCGTTGGCGAGGCCACATTGGCATCTTTGGCCCGCTTGAAGGCCGACGGCAAACTGTTCCGCGAGCTGAATTATTGGCGGTTTGTGTTGCGGTTGAAGAGAGCTCGGGGCCTCTGACGTTTGTGACCGACCACAAACCCCTCCTGAATGGGTGGGCCAGGGTTGGACTCTGAGGCCCTTTGGAGCGTGGTCTCGGCGTCTCAAGAACTGGGATCTCTGGGCTAGGCTGCGCAGGGCGTTGGAGCAACAGCCTAGACGCGATGTGGCCTTGGCGTGGACCCCGCCCCATCAGGATGAGACGCCAGAGGCTATCACCAACCCGTTTTATGCATGTGGCAACATTGTCGCAGATGCATGGGCAGGCCAAGGAGCTGCCAAGAATTGGACGGCAGCGCGAGAGCCTCTCCCCTGCGCTGATCAGTGGGATGCAACGGCGGCCTTGGTGCGTGCCAGAGCTAGGGCCATCATCAAGAGTATCGGCCCTGATAAAGTTTTGCGCGGGGTGAGAGTTGGCGTCGCTCGTCAGGCCCCTCTCTCCACTCGTGCCCTCTGCCTGAGAGCCTCCACTCACACGTTCGAGCGTTGTGCTGCAAAGTGGCGCTGTGCCGTGTGCGAGCTTCTCGTTGATGACTGCCGTCTTGACGAGTCGGCACTCGCGCAGTGTCCTGGGCCGCCCCCCTCTCAGGGGACGCCGTCCGTGGAGATCCCACGTCGGTTCGGGGAGGCCGTGGTGGTGGAGGCGCGGGGGAGGACTCTCAGAGGCCAAGAGGCCCATCCGTCGCATCAGCTTCTCGAGATCCCGCGTTGGCGGGTTTTGTTTTGCTCGCATTGCGGAGCAAATGCTACGTTTCGGTTTGTCAATCTGTTGCAGGAGCGTGGCGAGCCGATTCCCAAGGGGAAGGAGGTCCTTGCTCGGATCGCCAAGGGCCTGCATCCTTCCCACAAGGGCCCCTTCTGGGGCCATCGCTGAGGCGGCGCACAGAGACGCCGCCCAATTGGCTCGGGCTCGTGCACTTGTAAGAGGCAGTGATTTGTCCCAGGCCCCTGGACCCCCACCTGAGGGAGATGGAGGGGCCTCGGGGGATGTGGTAGTGGCGGACGCCACGGAGGAGGCTGTGGCCAAGGCGGAGATAGGGGAGGAGTCAGGCGGCGGCCTCGAGGCTAGGGAGGCTGCGCGCGAGGGAGCGTGGTGCGCCTCTGCGGCCTCATCTTCCAGGCCCGCCCCGCCGCCCTCCCCCTCCTCCTCCTCCTCCGATTAGGTGTCCCGCCCCCCCCCCCCTTCCCCAGCGCGACGCCTCGGTCGCTCCGCATTTAGCCCATTTAGTCCTTCCGCCTCCCACCTCCCGCCTCGCTCCTCTTTCTCATCCTTCCTCCTTCGCAGGCTCCCCCGTCCTTGAGGGGGGTGGCTGGATGTATGGGGGGGGCGGTCGAAGACACAGGGAGCAGGAAGAGGATGAGAAGAGGAGGAGGAGGAGGAGGAGGAGGAGGAGAAGAGGAGGACGAGGACGAAAAGTGCGACGAAGAAAGACAGGAGCAGCCGGGCGCGAGCATGCAGGGTGGGGAAGCACGGCGGGGTCGTGCAGGAGACCGAATGATGCCCGAGGGCGAGGAGCAGGAGGAGGAGGAGGAGGAGGAGGTTGAGGACGAGGAGTCGGATGAGAAGGAGGAGGAGGAGGAGGAGGAGGAGGAGGAGGAGGAGGAGGAGGAGGAGGAGGAGGAGGAGGAGGAGGAGCGAGGACGGACCACGACGACGACGACGACGACGACGACGACGACGACGACGACGACGACGACGACGACGACGACGACGACGACGACGACGACGGCGGCGACGACGACGACGACGACGACGGCGGCGGCGGCGGCGACGGCGACCA